ACAATGCCGAGGGATCGTCTGTCTCCAAAGGCTGAGCTATGTTTTATTATGTTGTATTTTGTTATCTTTTGATGTTGGTGTTTCGATCACTTTTGTTGTACTCATTGACGCTGGTACTCTTGTTGTTGCCCTTTGTGGCTTTTTGGGATACTTTAGTTGTTTCAAAATATCGTTTCATTTTTATTCCATATCGGTTGGCTCCCACATAGGGATGTCGATCGCCTGGCAACTTTTCAATCAGCCGGCCGTTGGTATGCCATGATGCTCAATCGGCTGGCAACTTTTCAATCAGCCGGCCGTTGGTATGCCATGATGCTCAATCGGCTGGCTTCCTTTCAATCGGTCGGCCGTCGACATGCCATGATGCTCAATCGGCTGGCTACCTTTCAATCGGTCGGCCGTCGGCATGCCATGATGCTCAATCGGCTGGCTGAGCCAATTGCAAAAGAGTGAGGGTGCTAATCGGTCGGTGGGGTACCAATGGGGATCGATGTTGAGGCTGTGATGATCGGCCGGTTGATTGCTCCGCTATGAGGGGGAGGATCAATGGCGACCGTCGGTCGGCTAATTGCTTCTAACCTACGGAGGAAAATCAGTGGCGATCATCGGTTGGCCGATTGTTCCATTCCAAGGAGAGAGATCGATGGCTGATCAACGGGGATCGGCCGGCCGATTGCTTCATCCTAAGAAAGGAGATCGATGGCGATCATTGGTCGGCTGATTGCTCCAACCCGCAGAGAGAGAGATCAGCGACGATCGATTGGCCGACCAATTGTTTCGTCCTATGGAAAGAGATCGACGACGATCGTCGGTCGGCTGATTGCTCCATGATGATCGGTCAACCGATTACATTGGGCCAAAAAAAATTTTTTTAGTTTTTGTTTGTATTATAGCTGGACCTCGTGTGAGGTTCCTACGTACCCAGAGATAGGGATCAAGCCATTCGTAGTTCGGTTTGGCCGACCGATAGATCATTTGCTCTTCCGGAGAAGGAGCGAAATTGATGCTAGTCGATCGGTTGATTTTTTTTTTTTTTTTTTTTGGGCCGACCGATAGATCATTTGCTCTTCCGGAGAGGGAGCGAAATTGATGCTAGTGGATCGGTTGATTTTTTTTTTTTTTTTTTTTTGTGTCGATCGGTCAACAGTTACGACTGTTAAGAATAATACTTGCGGAGGTTCGAGGCGTTCCATGATCTTGGCACTTGCTGGCCAGACGACGTCTCCAATCGATAGACTCCGGGTTTTACTACCTCTATTATCTTGTACGGTCCTTCCCAATTGGTCCCAAGCTTTCCGGCTTTCCATTCTTTAGTGTTTTCGAACACCTTTCTTAGGACGAGGTCGTTAAGTTCCAATGGTCTTGCTCGGACTTTTTTGTTGTAGTAAGTTTCAGCAAGATGTTGGTAGTTCTGGATGCG